AAGGAGGATGAAGACAACAGATGGAGATTCTGATAAGGTAATTATTAGGCTTATTGAAGAAAAGAAATTCAGATTACTTTATTTATTTTTTGATTCACTAGTAGATTTAATCTAGAATAAGCTTCTGGCTTATTAACAAGTGATTCACCAGTAGATTTAATCTAGAATAATCTTCTGGCTAATTAACAAGCTTCATTGAAGCTCCAACTATTCGATGTGCTCGAGGAGTCAAAAGAATTTGTGAGTAATTAAGTTAATTTGGGGTTCAAAGCATGTATTTTTTTTCTTGGGCATTATTGTTTCATTAATTAAAGATTTGATTGGGGGTTTTGATATTATTACAATTTGAATATTTTATTTGCAATTATATTAAATTAGTCCATCGGTCCTTAGAGTGTGCGACTACACTGATCCTTAATACTTCAGGTTTTTCTTGATTAAAACTTGACTGGAATGACATACAAACTCAAATCAAATTGATGAGCATGTTTTGATGCATACATGTTAATTATCTTCAATTGAAAAGCAACTAGGATTGCAAAAACTAAAGAACTGGGAAATCACATGTGATTGTCATTACATGTTCACATGAGATAATATTGAGGTGCCATGAGAATTAGTGATATCCTTCAATTCTTTTTTTCCCCTCAATAATATCTCTCCAGGTTTTCTCTGGATAAAATTTGATTAACTCTTGCTTTATTTTAATTAACTTTTTTTGTTGTTTATTGCATGTCAAAGGAAGGATTCAATAAATATTTCAAGTCAAGATCGATGTCTTCAGTTTCTAATGCGGAATAACAAATGTTCTGATTTATTGTTCGTGAATAAGAATAAAATAGGTTAGCAATATAATATCATACCTATTTAGCAATCTCTCGCTTTCATCAAAGGTGACATATACTTAGAGAATGATATTTGCTTAGCTTTTTTTATTTATAATGAAGCCATTAGGAATTAAACTCATGACCGTGGGAGTCATATGTTAGAACCTCCTGACTAGGGTTGGGCATCGGCCAGTTCAAACCGTGGGCTGAACCAGCCTAGCCTAACGTAGGTCGTAACCCAACTTGACCTACACCAGGCCGGGCCCAATCCTGTCGGGCTAGGTTTTGAACCGGACCAGGACCAAAGAGGCAGGGCCGGCCCACCAGTGAGCCGCCCTGGCCTGGGTTAATTATGAATGTTTAATTTTTTTTAACATTTACAATTAACATATTTTTTTCCCTTGCATTTGTAATTTAAATTTAAACTAAGTGAAGGTTATTTAACTTTTCATTGATGTAGTTTTTTCTCCGTAGTCTGAACCATGTATATACATATATTTCGAGTCAAAAGGACCAAAACGTTTGCCAGCCCCTTCGAATTCATATTCCTTTAAGTTAGAATACTAAGGTTCATAATCCCTGCTTCTTAAGCATGAGAATGAGAAGATTCAGGCGCATATGGCTTTGGTACCTTGTTTTGTTATATGACATCTATGCATAAGGCAACGCACCTACCCTATTTCAACTAATATATCTAAGATTTGGCTCAAGTGTTGAATACTATGTAGAATGCATGAACAATGTGTACAATATCTCTTATCAAGATTGTTGGATGAAGTTATATTCTTGCATAATGTTGAATTTCCTTTCAATAGCTATATGGACAAAAATCTATTTCTCAATTGCTTAAATAGGTTTTAGGTTATTCTATTTTCCCCGCGTCACGCAGGGGTATTTGCTACTTTAATTATAATAATTGATAAAAATATGTATTAAATTCATATAAATTTATAAAAAAAATAGCAATCTTAGATTCACAATAAACCATGCATAGTTAAATGCTAAATAGCTAAAATAATAACTAACAATGTTATAGAAAACGCTAGGAGGCCTAGGCATTGGACTCGATGCCTAGAGCCTAGGAGGTTTTTATTTTTATTTTTTAATTATAATAATTGATAGTAAATGTCAATGTTACAGAAGGCTTAGTTGTCGGAGTGATGTTTAGGCGGATTTCTTTCTTCATTTAAGTGACGGTCGAGGAGGTTTTGCTGAAGGTCAGAGGAGGTAGTCGAGGTATTCATATTTGGAGGTTAAAAGAGTTTGGAGGAGGTTGGAGGATGTGGAGGCTGCAACACAGAAAATCATTATCAAGGTCTAAAGGATGCAATCCATGTAAGCAGGCAATGTTCCCCTAAACACTCCCAAAACCTAGGTGGGCAGCTTAGGTACCGCCTAGGAGCTAGGAGCTAGTTAGACGGCCTAGGTACCGCCTAGGCCTAGGCGTACGCCTAGGTGGTAGACCTAGACGTACGCCTAGGTGGTAGACCTAGACGGACTAGGCGAAGGCTTTTTAAAACAGTGTCTACGAGTGTAGTGTCTACGAGTGTCTAGGTGTCTGAGCAAAAATCCTAACTACCTTATAATTAAATTTTACTTGACTAGTTGCCTATAAGCATTAAGCTACTGAGTTCAAGATATTCCCAGTATTTGTTTACATACCAACATTAATTCTCGCTTCTACTTATCTTTATTATAAATGATTCATGCCATTCTTAGAGTTGAGCGAGAATACTCGGTTGGGGATTTCTGAATCTTAAGACGCACGTATGTTCATGAACGCGCAGGCACAAGAAATATTCCAATACCCAATAATAATGAAATATGAGCTAGGTTATGTAACCTATGTAGCACGGACACGGATCCGACACGGCCATCCGACACGCCGACACGAGGCAAATCCTAAAAAATACATAGGATACGTGTGTTCGACACGTGTGTTCGACACGTGTGTCCGACACGGACACGACACGACACGGCTTCATGTTATGCGTGTCCGTGCTTCATAGTATGTAACTTAATCAACAGTTCTACCTTGAACATAAAATAATAACGATGTTGCAAATCCCTTAACACAGTGAACAAGTAATATTAATAAGTTTAATATTTAATAGAAAGAACTGTTCCGGGAGCAAACCATTTACTGACAAAAGTTTTTTGTATAATTAGTAAAACAAGAAGAGAAATACCTTCTTGTCAGCTCCTGTATCATATTGGTGGGATCGATCTGACATGCCAACAGCCATCTGCAAGCCGACATTTGATTCTTAGATTTAAAATACTGTGAAAATTTTAAATTAAACTACTTTTCTTTCAGAATAAATAAAATAAACCGATCCGAGATTCTCCATTCAAATTATATGAAGTTTCTCCAGGTTTAATCAAATGTACCCGTGTTGCATTGTTCAGCATGCGATTTACTTGGTAGTATGTAAATCCATTGTAAAGAATGGCACCCCACAATGGAGCATAAAATGTTATGAAGTGAGCTACCTGCAAGCCAATTCACATAAAGATCTCAATAGTAGAAACTGCCAAAAGTTGTTTTAAAAAAAACACGGTGTCAGAATCCAATTATTTTCCTTCTCCAGATGAATTAAATCTTAATAGGTTTATCTATTAGAAAGAATGTCTGTGTTTGGCAACTTACCCAAAATTGGGCCAGGATCTTAATCTAGTTGTAGTTTGCACCAGGGGAGGGATGGTACAAACTAGAACGGGCTTGGTGGCCACTATAAGGCCTACAAAATATTGGGCCAACTCTGGCCTAGTTTTTTATCAAACAAAAAAGAACTCAAAACTGAGGTTCAGTCCTGACCCAGTTTTAAAGGGTTGCCAAACGCAAAGGTCTTGCATTAACGATGACCAAAACAATCGACAACCAGAAAATCACTCTTTTAAAAGAATATTGATAACTCAGAAAGCCATAAAAAAACATGTTGTTGCCTTCATAAACTTTGTGCGCGTGCGCGTCATTAGAATGAAAAACTAAAAGGACAACAACTTGCAATTTCACAGCTATGAGAATGTATACACATGCCTGTCCTGCAGTATCAGTCTCAGCCCAACACCATGCACCATATCTTCCATAATCACTACCTATGGAGCGCATGACAGACATAGCAAGAGAGGTTCCTGTAAGAAAATTACATCCGAAGTTGATTTCATTAAAAGCTACATTTTTATACTATTATTTACAGAATGGTCAAGAGTTTAAAATAATAATCTCCCTGTAGAACTGGACTCGATTCAGTTCAATAACTATATACATTTATTCCATAAAATCGTGTTAAAAACAGCACACTTGAATAGATGAAGTTATCAAGTGACTAAAGTAAGAGAAGATGGTTTTTCAAGCAGCAGCATTATGCCGGATATTGAAGCACATACAAGATTGATGTGAAAAAGAAAAATATATTCAAAAGAAAAATATATTCAGAAAATCTTACAAACAAGACGATAGGATGCAGTATTTTGGAAAATGTAAAGCAGTTGAGAAGAAACTGGCACCTGAAAGCTTGTTTTGCTGAGTGCACATATGCATCTAGGAAGTACAATCCTATTATGTACTTAATAACTTCATCTCTCCTTGTCAGGAGACAAAATTTGATGGCATGACCATTCATTCATAAGGCCTAAACAAATATTTTGCTTAGAGATTTATAGTTAACAAACCAAAATGTAATCTTAGTGATTTACCTACATGCATCCCTCCTTTCCTCCCAAGAGATAGTTTAAAATTGACATAGATAAATCCAATTGAATCATGCATCTCAAGATCAAACAGAGAAAATATTTTGTTTCTTTTTTCATTCATTTCTTTCTAAGAACAGTCTTGGCCAGTAAGATTCTTAAATTGCAATACACAAGCAAACTGTATTTATTTTTAGTTCCATTAATGATGTTCTGCGTAAGGAAAAATCCTGCAGGAGATGTACAGAAGACTTTTCCTGCTACAAACATTATGGATGTGCACATCAATTCTTCTATAAGAAGCCTAAGAGATCACCTGGAGATAGAGATAGCATGCAGAGAGATAATTAGTGGCTACTATCGGTCATATGCTTGGAGTTATATTGACCTCACTTTACTGCCCTTAACTATTCCTTTCAGTTTCCACGCCCTAGGACACTTATCAAACTCTACAGATCCATACATCATCGCCACTAGAAGCCTATAGATTTTATTTGCCCACTGATTTTAAATGTATGAGGCCCAAGAAGAATGCACTTCCGTTTATGGCTTATAATCATATCCCTTCATCTAGTTTTTTTAAGAATGGGAAATTTTCGAAGACATACACTCAGGTTGAGCATGTTCAAACTGTATATCCAGGTCTTTTCCATTTAAATATGGCAAGATCCTATCCCTTCTATGATTTGATCAGAAGTTTGGACCAGCTGAACGGGTTGCCTATGAGAAAACCACTGATGGAAGTTTGCCAACCCTCCAGTTGAGTCATCTTAATGTGGAGTGGTGCCCTATAGCTGACCCAACTAACAGAAAAGGGATCAGATAATGTTGATAAAGACATGCAAAAGATAATCCAACAGATGTGAAGTTTTGGGAGTACTTTCATGCTGCTTATTTGCTAACTGGCCTTCAGTCATTTTAACAGTTATATCTTCACCTTAACAGAACTAATAAAAAAATATGGAATCATGTGCAAACATAGATGCATTAGAATTCAACTAACACAGCCTGTAAAACACTGACAATAGAATGCAAAATACCAATAAAAACAAATGGATAGAAAATGTATTAAATAAGGTATTTCTTCAAGGTGAAAGCATACCCCATACATACAAATGAAAAACAGATCCGAAATCCTCTACATCTGTTTTGTGCTTAACAACAGTACGGTGAAGAGTGAAGGCAATTGTTGTAGTCCATAAAAAAGATGCTACACAGGAAAAGTGTGTACTATAGTCTTGAGCATAACAAAAAAATCCATTTGATGGGTCCCTACAAGAAAAAATAAAAAAAGGGTGAGCT